CAAATACACTACTAGAAGTACAATTTTTGCTTAAAGGCGAGAAATGTATGAGTGGTGACATTTCAAAACGGATTATGTCCATTCCTGCGACAAAAAAATAGTTTGATATTTTTCATTATGTTTATTGTGTGCTTTGTCATTCTGTCTGCTGGATAGTGTGACATCGGATGGTGTGACGGACGGACTTTCTGACGACAGATGGTGTGACGGACGGACTTTCTTGACGGACAATGGTGTGACCGACGGAACTTTCTGACGGAAGATGGTGTGACGGATAGACGATGTGACTGATTGAACGGCGTGATGGATGGACGGTGCGGCGGCTGGAGGTTTGCCGATTTTGTGTTGGAACGGTCGCACGGACGGAGGGTGTGGGTGGGCGGACGAACAGACGGACGGAGAGTGTGACGGGCGACGCACGGACGCACGGAGGGTGTGGCGGAACGGACGGGCAGACAGTCTGAATGAGTTAGTCCAGCGGATGGCAGTTCTCGAGAGAAGTCTGACGGGCGGGCGGTCCGGTTATGGCCGGGTTTGAGCAGTGCAGTTGGGGCGCGTGTGCGATCCGCCTGAAGGTGCTAGTGACAGGAATGTGAGCCCGAATGGGCCAGCGGCGCATGGGCAGTGTGGCACGCCGGCCTTCTCGGGAGGCGGCAATAAAAAAGGCAAGCGGGCCGCGCGTCGCATCGAGGGCGCATTCCAGGCGCGCCCCGCCCTCCCCCTCCCTCCCCTTCTCCCCCTCCCTCCTCCCTCCCCCTCCCTCCCTCCCCTTCCCCCTCCCCCTCCCCCCCTCCCCCGCTGCCGCGCCACCTGCACCGCCCGATCGCGTGCTCCGCCTGTGATTCAACACTCCGCTTGCGTCACGCCACCGGATCCGCCCTTCCGATGTTTGCGGAGAGTTGGGGTGACCAGGGTGAACATACTGCAGTTCATGTTCATTTCCGATATCAAACATATGATGAAAATTGTCGACCACGGATTTTAGCAACACAATGCTCTTTGTGGTGATGGGTATATTTCTTGCGTAAGTTTTTTGTATATATTTGTTTCAAAAGCATAACTACCGTGGATGATAATGTGAACCATTCTATTTTTGCAATTGTGAATCTCATATTAATTAATAAAAGTTGCATTACCATTTAATACTTTGGATCATTATCGTATGGTGCATCAGTATCAGAGCAAGGCCCGAACCGATCTGAAGCGCTACAGAGCGAAAGAAGGAAATTGGGTTTTGAATGTGGCGCTCAATGGATGAGGAACGTTGGCTGCTACTGACCACTGGTATTATTTGAATGTTACTTAGTCTGACGTCACGTGGCAGCCACGCCTTGAATCAATATTTGCAGTGTCATGAGACGCCTCTGGAACATGCTGCTCCTGTTGTTTTAGATTTTCCCGCTCATCATTGGAACATTGGTTTTCGAAAATGTGCATGCTCAATGCATTAAATTTGATTTTCCTTAACATAAGTGCTTCTGACCTTTTAATTACATCTACAAGTAAACATATCTCTAAAATAATCACTGACATCTTCACATTGTTGAAATTTAACCTTATTGACGCTTATTGAAAGCTACTTTATTACTTTTAACTTTCATTCACGTCAATGCGAATTTGGTATTTGGTTATAATATAACGTTTTCGTATTTAGTTTTGTATGGTATGGTATATAAATACAGTATTTCCCGAAATAATAGTGTGAATCTATGAGTGAATTTATAGAAATCTAATAATGTGTGCATGCGTGCTTTTAAATATATCATTAAAGTACATTTAATTTTTCAAACATGTGCAGCTTTATTCGTATATTTAATTTTTTACAACTGTTCATTGTGTTCTGCTTGCGTTTGAATCGCAGTCATCCCCTTTTGCACTTTCTGCTAGAACTCTCCACGCGGTCCCTGCCCCCTTCCCGTCACATGCTCTCTAGTGTCATCGCGAAGAGCGCCTCCGCCCCCTGGCGAGACCTTTGGGAGGTTTACGGGCTGTGGAAATAGAATGGACGGGGCGGGCGAAAGTCGCAGCTAATTTACAGGCGGCGGGTGCGCCCCCAGGTCGAGGGGACCGTGAAATTTCGCTCTCGCCGGCGACGGTGGCGCCGCCTGCGCGTCGCCGGATCGGAATGCGCGCCTTCGCGGAGAGGCGTTTATTGCCTCATCCGTTAGAGAAACCGAGGGGTACACTCGCGGTGCAGCTGGAAAAGTGACTTCTAATTTTGTTAAGGTGGTTGTGTGCGTGCAAAAGAACCACTCTTCATAGGAACATCGGGAGTTTGCATTCAATACTTATTAAAAATAAGTAGGGACATTTTTTAGTTTAATTGATGCGAAAGTCGTTCTCAAGTCTACTTGCATATCCTTTGCATGAACGAATAATGGAGAAAATCATTCATGAATGAATCCACATTAATAATTCAATATAAAACAAATTGTAAAGACTTTTTCCTTCCAGCAAGTCAGAACTGAAAGTTAATTTTTTGACAATAACAGAAAGAAATATTTTTTTTGTTAATTATTTAACAATAAACATAGTATAAGCTGATAAATAATTATTTAACAAAGATATTCTAAAACACAGGCGCCTTTATTAACATTTGGAGAATCGTTACTGTAAGAATATTTTAGAATCATGTAGAAATAATTAAACATTCACTTTACGATAATAAGTTGCAAAGAATATATCTAAGTTGCGTTTTTATTTCAAACTGCGAGAATTTTTTTAGAAACGTAGAAAAAAGGAGAAAATTTGAGTTATGGTTCAAGAAACTTTTTGCTCCTCTGTTATTTACAGCAACCTTCACCCTGTCTCCAGAATTTTGGAACCCATCCAACTCCAGTGCCCACAACGGGATAGAAGACAGATTTGTTTCCTTGGTCTATTTTCGACAACTTCTTGCCCTCAGACAACGAAGGGGCGCGGTCGGCACTCCTCCGCGTGCTTCCATGTGGCTGCCAGAGGCAAGCTGTCGAGCGACGAACGTGTGCTGTCATCATTTTGTGATCAATGTAATCTGCAACGAAAATCAATTGGAATTCAGTTTTTGCGCCCCTTTCCCCACATTTCTTTCATTTCATGGAATATATCTTTACTGAAAATAAGATTGCTGTATTTTAGCAGAAAGACTTTGCCCACGTACGTGAAATATATTGAGAAATAAACGAATGTTGCGTAATATTTATGATAATAGTAACACAGAATATCATTAAAACTTATTCTGGTTTGAAAGTATTTAACTCGTGGAACTGGTATTTCGTACATATTGATTGAAATCTGCATTTAGTGTGTTGTTAAAGCCAGTTCCGTAAATTAATGTGAGGCGGATAAAAGAATCGACACACTAAAGCAAGCAATTGTGAAAATAAAATATAGTTTAGGAGCATACCAACTTCAACTTTTGGGGTTGAGAACAGTACAAGAAAGGGAAAGCAAGGTTGACCCGATACTCTAGACAAAGCTCGTATTGTGCGTTGCGCTTAATTTGACTCCAGTGCTACATGGAAAGCAAATAGCTCTGAGCTGGCGCTTTCCCAAGCTCATTCACGAAGTTCCGGTGAAGCGTAACTGCGTTCCAGCGGGATCAGGATACCACCCTGAAGGTGTTATTGGCACCGTATGCAAGTACGGACAAAGTCTAGGGATCAACCCCAGGGAGCAATTCTTCTGAGGTCAAGTCGAAGTTTGGAGTAGTAGCCCACACAGAGTATATACCTTCCACTATTGAATGTGGAATAAAGAATATATTTAAGATGTTTAAAAAATTTTGCCTTTTGCGACAGCTCCATACTAAAGAAGCGTGTACGAATAGACGAATGAATTTGATACCTGAAGGATGTATTTGTAAACTGAGGACAAATTTACTTGTAAATTACCCGTGCAGTAGAGTGGTGGCAGCATTCCTAGTGGCAGCTGCAGTGGGCGCCACCCCCAGCCAGGCCGAGGCGGAGGGATCACCCCCACGAAAACAAATGTAATAGCGGTACCGTTCGTTCTCGATTATGGCAACGCCAAAACTAATGTTCCCGGACATGGCGGTCTCAGCGCGCTGCTCTCGCCATCTCGGACAACCGGAACCGAGTCTTTGCATCCGGTTTTAGTATGTATTGCAGATACCTCTTTTTGCATTCCGCACTTTGCGAATTTAAACTTTGTCTCGCAAAATAGTAAGCGGTTAGCTCACAACATAAATGAGAAGTCACATATACTATATTTTCATCATGAAACGACCCAGCGCGATGGATCGATTGGGGGCCCTTCGACCCCGTAGATCCCCCCTCACTATTGCGATCCGATTGAGCATTTGGGCGGAACTCGGGCGACCGCGACTGACCGGCGCCGGCGAACTGCTCGCGAATCGATAGTCGGTTGACTCCGCCACGGCCATCGGGCGGGCGGGCAGGCGGGCGAATTTGGGTCAGCGGGGAACGGCGGCGCGTGCGCCGTGCTATTGCGGGGGTGCGGCACGCACTCGCACGGAGCGGCGCGGGTTGCGGGGCGCGCACGCACGGACTGCGCCATATGGCGGCCGATCAGGTGGGTGTTGGTATTGCGAATCGCACTTGCAGAACGCGGATGGAACGTGAAGCCCAAGGCAGCAATGTGTGTTTGGAGGAGGAGATTTGACAGAGCGAATTGAACGTGTTGGTTGAAGTAACGCGCGAGTGGTGGCTCGCGACAGCGCGAGGGACAGTTCCGAAGGAACTGGCAAATTGAAACAGACTCGCAACTGAAATAAAGTGAGTTACCTCAGGTGTTCTAGTTGTCCGGTCGCCGAAAATTGTCGTTGTTTTTAGAGACGAGATTCTGCAAGCAATTTTACTATATATAACAGTTGCGATAAATGGTACTACATCGACATTGAGTCAACTGTTCAAACTGTGTACAGTGAATTGATACTACTGAAAATTGGTCCCGTGAACGAGAAACAAGTCAACATATTTTTTTATTTAGAGTAGGGGCATGAATAGCAGAAAATGGAAAATAGGACATGCAATTACGGATCACAAACAGCGCAACCAAAGGCAATATCGGAGGGTGGATGCACAGGGAGAGGCGCCCGCCCTCGCCCCCGCCCTCGCCCTCGCCCTCGCCCTCGCCCTCGCCCTCGCCCTCGCCCCTGCCCCGCCCCTTGCCCCGCCCCGCACCCAGCCGCGCACGTGGGCGGCCCCTCCGAGCGGCGGTCCGTGGCTGCGGCTCCCCGCGCCCAGGGTTTGTTGTGGCGCCCGGAAGTGAGTATTGACCGCCCGCCCGCCAGCGGCAGCGGGCAGCGGCAGCGCAGGGGAGCGGGGGGCGGGCGGCGGAGCGCGCAAGACGGTTGGCCGGCGCGACCCCCCCCCCCTCGCCGCCGCACCGTGCGGAAAATTTGCACGCGGGCGCCCCTTTCCAATTTCCTGCCTTGCTTTTCACGCGCAAAAATGAAGTTTAAGACGAAGTTTCTTTACAGTCATTATCTTCCCTCATTGATTTCATTCGTTGCCTGTTTGCACGTTTTATCATGTTTCTTTGTCTGTGTCGTGCTGGTAAGCCTTCTTCGTGGCCTTCTTTAAGGCTAAAACGCATTATAACTTGTGGACTACAGACATCACAGAATCTCACGAGAAGACAGAAAACGCATGACTGCAGATGAACAAATCTCTGACTGTACATTAATATAATGTAATAAATCTCGTATTAAGACAAACATTTAAATATCTCACTGAATATGTTTGTGGAAGGTTAGTTCTGATTAATTGCTCTGGGGGAAATATATTCGAAGAAAATATATTCGGCAATTGATCGATCGGATAAAACAGGTCATAAGCATTAAATAATTCCGGTATTAATTTATCAATGTTACCATTCTCATTGCGCGAACTTTGACTGTAATGGATATTTGTTCCAGGTGGAGCTGCTTGCTATAAAGGTCTACACACTCACGAAAGAGTGAGATCGGAGATCGAACGTAAGTACGTGAGGATTTTAATTAGTAATATGAATGTAAAAAATTTTTATGACACTCGGACACTAAATGTCGGTACATAATAATTGTCATTGTGAAATAAAAAGTTAATGTTCTATTACGAGTACTTACCTACAGCAACAAGAATGCTGGTGAACACAACCACACAAAAATGTTTTCCAAACAGTGGCACGCTCAATACACAAGAACAGTTCAAATAAGATATTCTTATAACACTGCAGTAAATTATGATTTAAAACTGTCTTCATAAGTACTGCAATAATATAGCATAGTATTTACAAAGCAACAATTTATACACACTGCTTAAGGATATAAAAAACGTTGCCGTTTCATAGGGCAACATGTGAATTGTGTGCGAACATTAAGTGCCGGACAGCTTCTTCCTTGGAGACATGCTGTCGCATGACGCAACATCAGCTGCATCCAGTGACGCATGGATAATGGAATTCAGTTGGTACGCGAAGCATGAGAATACGTGGAATAACTCAATCAAACATTTTCATTTTTCAGTGAAAATCAAAACTGTTTAATTATTTTCCCCCGAGTTACTGGATAACACAAACAAAATCATACAAATCTCTAAAAAGCCGGTGGCTGCGTAGTTTTCATTCAACTTCGGAGTGCGTTGGAAATTAGTAATACAAATGAGAAATAGAGGATTGAACTTCAAGACTTTCCATAATCCATTTTTTACATTTTTAATGATGAAATTTCAAATACGAAGAATTTTAATAATTCATAATATTGCTTTACGATTTTCATTTTATTGTGATGAAACATACTAACAATGAACGTGTAATATAGTTTAGTTGAAACTCAATCTTACCTTTGACGATATCTATCTTTGAGCTAAATCGTCCGCAAAAAAATTAATGAGTTTAATTACAACTTTTTTTAAACATTCCCGACAACAATAGAAATTACTTCCAACTCAAAAAACTTGACAGTTCGCGCGAATGCGCCGAGGAAACACGATTAATTTTATTAAATTGATTTTAAAGAGGCGGTTCTTCGGAAAATGGAATAACTCGGCGAACGTCGCATTTTCAGCGGTTCCTTCTATACTTACGGCCGTCATTAGCGCAGCAAAGCGAAGCGAAGGGAATCGCCTTTCGAATCCATTTCGCAGAAGGATCAGTGCAAATTCCCGCCGCCTCGTCGCGTTGGGGGGGGGGCGGGCCGGTGCCTCCTGAAATCGGCTTCCCCTCCCACAGGAAGGAATGCGGCGAGGATGTACTTAGCGGTGGAAGGCGGCACTAAACCCAGGTATTTGTGAGCGTTCGGGTCCAAATTGCGCGATAATTCACAAATGGCGCTGAGCCAGGCACGCGACAGTGTTTCGGAGGTGGGGTTCGCGATCGCAACACGTGGAGCTCGGCTGTGGCACGTGTGGAATCGATGGCAAGAGGAATGGAATAGATGAATGGCAGAGAAGCAACGTTCCGGAATAGAGGCACAGCAAGGACATGAAACTACATTGTATGATGTAAATAATCTCCTTCTTCAAAACATATTATATAAATATTTAATACAAATGGTTATTGCATTAATATTGTTTGTTCCTTATGACGAAATAAAAACAAACACAAAGAAGCAAGTGTTTTATACCCCTCATTTGCCAAATGAGTTGCTGCTTTCCTCATCGTAAAATGATGTTCACGAATATTGCAAGTGACATTTTCTTACCATGAAAATACACAAATGTGTCGGAGAATGCGTTGCACTGGTGCATTTATCCTAAATGTATTTCTATTGCTCTGACTTCAATGCACTGCAAAATATTTACACGAAGGTTCTGTTTTGAACATCGCGTGTCAAGGATTTTTGTTGTAGCCAACACTACATAGGTATCCAGTTAAAATAATGTACTTAAGTCATACATCAGAGCTATAGTGATGCTTAAACAAATTTTAGTTTCATACCATTTTCAAACATATTGAATATTACTTAATCGTATTTATATTAAATTGCTTTCCAGGGTTTCCATAGTTTCTTAAAGTATATTTTGAACGTAAAGTGAACAACTAATATATCAACGCGGTTATTTTGCATCGAGACAAATTCATTAACAAAAATAAACCAATAATCTTTAAAAAAATGAACAAACTTTTATAAAACGATAGTTTTATTAAATATATTTGAAATGGTTTTTTGATAATATTAACATGTTGTAATCAATATTTATCTTTAAATCAAACTTGTATGTATCCTCTTTTTAACCAAAAACTTACTTTTTTCTTCAGAATAGCAAATGAGTTTTTTCTTACAGCGTTCCTATTGGAACTCTTTCTAGGACTTTTCTAAAGGCTTAATGTGAACTCAATTAGGACTGCAAGCACACATATCTTCTGCACTACCTATGCGTAAAGTAACTTAGAATTCTAAAAGTGTTGAATCGAGGATTAAACACCATTGCAAAAATTGAAACTGTTTTTAATGGCATGTGAGTGAACAGAGGTGTATAGTGATGACTTTCTGTAGAGAAAGTAATGTCATTGGCGTAATGTTCCGATGAGGGAGAGAAAATAGGTAAATAGGTGAAGGGCGATACAGTAGGGTGCACGTGCGTTCGTGCAAACGAGCACGTTTTATAGTATGTCTATAAATGCGTTACGACAATCTTAAATCTTCTGTAAATTGCACAATCGTTAACCTACAAACACAGATTTCTGCTTCTCATCCTCGATCCTGTTGCTCTCCACTTGCAAACTATAATGTATGGACGAATTATCGAAGAGAAAACTTAGAAGTTTTGTTCGCAATAACAGAACTTTTACAGCCGAGAAGAAGTCGTAGCAGTTATTTGTCAATATTAATTTTATGCTCCTCAGAGAACAAATTTACAGCTCACGAAGTTAACAGTTTTATATATAAGCAATCCGAAAAGAATGCTATTTTGTTCCATAAGTAACTGCAAACATCGAGAACACATTGCTAATTTTGCGACTCTAAGTTTATCAGTAGTAATACATTTTCTCACGGTATCTTGTTACATGAAACTTCGTAACATACAAATATAATCGCTTAGTTATTTAATGGAGATGATAATATCTACACTTTATCCTCTTATAACTTCTTAACAGCTTTTAGTGTGTTAAAACAAAATTCAAATGTGATGTTATGCCATAACCCTCCTTTCTTCTTCTAGTTTTACTACGTCATTCATAGTTCAAGTACTTTTAACGTCACCCTCTACATCTTTCAATGCTTTCATTTTCGTATTGTACTTCTCCTTATCACTCTTGCTCATACAATTCCCTTTGTTTGCGTAGTACTTTCGCATCAACCAATCAATTCATTTTCAGTTATCTTTTCTTCTTCCCTCACTTATAATTTCTTCTCATCCTTTTTTCCTGTTCTTCTCCTTTCTCTTTTGCTAACTTCGCATGAATCCTGTTTTTTCTCTTCCAGAATTGATCCTGCTTGTTGTGTTGCGAAGTTTCCCTCCGCTTTTTCGTGTCGGCCATGCGCTTTCTCCGTGTTCTGTAGCCCCCTCCGCCTGAGCAGCTCCGCAGGGCCTACGCCGCGCAATCTCCTTGCTCGCAGCTGCGTTCACCGGCAGCGGGATCCTCGACGCCGCGCCTTCGGATTACAGTCTGTGAGCCCTCCCCACACCCATCCACCTGCCCCCTGCCCCCCTGCCCCCTCCCACACGCAGGGCCTCTTGGAAGCGAGCGCTCGCGGCCTCCTGGGACAGCGCAGCGCGCCAGGGAGCCTTCGCGCCCTCGAAGCCCCGCTGGCTTAATCGCTCATCTGACAGGAGCACGAGAAAATCGGGTCAGATTGGCGTAAAATGGCGGGGGGTACACGAACACTCGTCGAAGAGGATAACAACATTCTTCTTTCGAAAGACGTGCAAGATCTAGAATCGGCAAATGGAGAAGGATTTCGTGCTCCGGAACCGAATTGCGATATATTACTCTTACTCAGAATGTCCCCAGAATTCATTAACGTGATATGTATTCCTATCTCCGTATTAGGAAATATCTTCTTTACGTTTCAAAGTTGCGTGTCATAGAGAACTGTAAGCAGTCGATATTTTGAACCTCTGGTTCTATCTTGGTGCAACCTTACATTAACGTAGCGCGATCACTACACCGCTTTCTCCTTCGGATGAATGCTTTACTGTACAAATTACACCAAATTCCGGGCTCGTTCAAGAAAGGAGGTCACAGCCCTCTATCTGCTTCAATCAAATGGCTCGGAACCGCCCGGTGATTCCGACCGCAGTGGTCGAAGAGTAATTTGTAGCGCTGCCGGAAGCCGGTCGCGGCAGAATTTCAATGAACAATTGCAAAGCTACGAACCATCCACTGTGTCTTTTTATAGGTTTAATCAAGATTAACGATAGTTTCTCTTAATGGTATTTGAAAGATATTAATGCTATCCTTTTTACTATCACAAATGGAAAGTTAACAAGCCAAACTATTCCGAGACAGTTCATTGAACTCGAGTTGTCTGCCTGTTTACTTGATTAGCTTTTATCTTAGCTATCTCCTGGGACGAATGTTCCTTGTTTTGCTCCCCTCGAGTCGATAGCTCTCGCCGTCACGAGTCGCCGGCGCAGTCGTGTACTTGGATTTCCGTGCCGCCAGGCGGCGAACGCCGCTGCTCGTTGCTCTTTGCGTCTTCTGCGAGCGCTGCGTCGCGTGTGGGTAACGCCGCCTCCGCCCCCACCGCCACTGCGCCCAACAGCCCCGCTGCTGCGCGGGTTGCCGCAGTACGCCAAGGACAGGCGCACCGCGGCCCGTCGCGGGGGAGCGGTGGGGCGGAAACAACGCGAGCGCCGCCCGGTGAGGGAATGTCTTGTGGGGAGACGTGGAGTGGCAACTCGCAGAATGAAACGGAGTGGGCTTCGTAGGGTTGCTGGCAGTAAAGGGATACCGGAGAAAAGAAGAGGAAATAACACGAAAGTGAAACATGGATTTTACATTTTTTTTAAAAATATTATCGAAGAACAAATATTATGAAATAAAGTAAAAATTGGAAAATTAAAGGCGAACAAAACAAAAAAATATGGGCGTTATCGAAAAAGCAAAAGGGGTAAGAAAACATTGACTGTCTTAATAAAAAAGTTTTAATTTCAACATAGCGACAACAAGCTCAGGCCGAAACGACTTGTAAAGATAAAACATTAGAAATAACGCATGCTCATGGCATAATAAATGGAAAACGATGCGACCGCTCAGAGAGGCAAGGTATTGATGAAAACGACGTACTCGCTAATTCTTGAAGGCAAATAATTTATTGGCATATAAAGAGGACAAAGAGAGATATAAAGAGAAGAAACTAACAGATAATGATCTTAGTGTTTTGCATAAAGATTATGGGAATGGTTTTGGCTGCGACAGGAACGGATGATGCAGTAGCGAAACGGCAGCCAGACGCTTGCCAAATTTAGGCTAAAAGGCTCTCCAGGGCGGCGGCCTTCAGCGGAGCGAGAGGGTGGCCGCGGTGACGGCGATTCCTCGCCTGTTGACTCACCTCTGCTTCCGCGGTCGCGGAGACATTGCATGGAGGGGGGGCGGGTCACGTGGTGCGGGCGAGGGACGCAGGCAGCTGCCGCAAAGCCCACCGCCCGCGGCAGAGAATTAATTAAAATAGCAATGTGCCAGGGCTGGTTTCCGGCCTCGCACGGGATCTTTTTTGTACTCGTTCGCGCACCAGGTGGCAACTAGCGCTGGGATTACGCTGCGACCTGGCGCAAACTTGGCAAAGAATAATAAAAATATTAATTTCGTATTCTCCATTCTGGCTGATGTTTCGTTTAAAACCACGCGAATGAAGCCAACTTTTGTTTGTTCTTTTTCTCTTACAGTGATATGTTTACAATTTTTTGCGTTCAAAATTTCTTTCGCAATCACGTGCTTCCGCAGCTATTGCTGCTTTCAAAGCGATTTTATTATGGAAGCGTGTGCTGCATTAATTAACATGTAATTGAAAAGCTTCGTTTGAATTGGCAATTATGTCTAATTTTACTTGGTTTGTTCGCGCGCGAGGAATTTTTAACTTGTTTAGAAAAAAGGTGCAAACTATTGAGTCTTTTGGAATATGAAATCATCTGATTTCAGAACAAATTGAAGCTAGAATTACTATTTCTCTTTGGCTAGAATTACTATATGGTCTCTTTGAACATTTTTATTTTAGCTGTACAACAACGCATGACTATACAATAGGAATATTTTAATAAAGAAATAAAATATTTCGTTTTAAAAATTATTATATCCTACTTTTGAGATAGCAATACATTAAAATATTATGTGTATATTTAGTAACGAAGGAAACATTATTTATATCAGCACAGTACTTTGTTTTTTTCCTATTTTATTGTACATTAAAGGGCGTAATAATGCATGGGAAGTTGCAAATGGTGACTATTTTTGGAAGTTGACCCTTGATATTTGAATTCCATTCGAAAGAAATCTTCATATAAATGCAATTACGGTGGTCGTAGTTCAAATCCCGCGTAAGCCGAAGCCCACATACTCATTCACCGTGGCCGATAAAATAGGAATCTTTCGGAGCTTCATCATATGGGAATGAAAGGTGGAGCCACACAGGGGATTGTAGACCTCCATTATTCTCGACGCTCATGAACCGCCCGCGCCGAGAGCGCCCTCTGCTTCCGCTCGCAAACAGCGGAATTCAAAACGCTCCGCGCAGCCGCTGGGCAGCGGAATCCGCGCTGCCCGTTCGAGCAGGATTAGCGGGCGGCGGCGGTCTTTCCACTGCTGCCCCAGCGCCAGCGGCGACAGCGGCGAGCGCGAGGGCGGGGCCGAGGGCGGGGGCGACGTGAACGGAATTCCCGTGGAAGACTCTGCTCGAAGAGAGTGTGAACCGGCGAGATTGTTAGCAAAGAGGCTCGTTTTATACATTGGAAGAGGCGATTGGAACTTTGTTTTTTGAATTATTACGTCGGTGAATTAGAAAAGGCTTTGCTGAAAATTCACTAATTAAGTATGGAATTAACAACTCAAAGTGATGGATTGCTGTTAGCATTTATAAATCGTAAGTTTATCATAACAAACCATTTTGATTCACAGGTAGAATATTTCTTCGACGGTAAATATGAAAGCAAATAAAGTCTGTAAAAATCAGTGAAACTAAATCATAAAATAAGGAATGTATCTAAAGACAGATTGAAGAAAGTGGAAGAAATTATTTTATGAAAACTGCATTTCGATTGATATCGTTTCGGATTTCATAGAACAAAACAAATTTGACTATACAGGCAACTATGTATCTAATCAATGCAATCCTAGATCTTCGGACAAGTATTCGGTTAATTTGAGAATGCTGAAAGATACAATAAGAGGATGCAAGGTAACGGGAACAAATTAGTACATATTATTAGTATTAGTGTTAATAAATATGACCAGATTGCAGATTGACAGAATGGTGAAACACGCACATGTATTCTCATCCTACCGCAAGAACTAGAAGAACACTAATGAGCTACATGGAAATGAATGACGAATTTGAGTGCAAGCAGACGGGAGTATTAGCAAGGTAACCGCTGGAAAAGATTTGTCAGAAGTAAACAGCGAAACAATAGCGGAATACTATGACACGTGCACGAATTCATACGAAAGAAGAAACTAATATGATCTCACAAGCCGGTGGACACCGTCCGTCATGGCAGTACGGAATAACGTTTTTGGAAATGAGAGAAAAACGCAACTGCGTGGGAGGCAGTCAGGGGGGCGGTGAGGGCGCGGCGAGCGGGAGGGGCGCTGCAAAGCCGGCGTTCGCGCATCGAGAGGACAGCGCGGCTTAGCGCGGCTCGCGCCGCATTTCCATGCAGCTTTGGCCCCGGACTGGGAACCGCCCCACCGCACCCTGCCTCGCCCTTCCTCTTTTGCGACCTTCAGCCACCCCTCCGCATCTTTTGCCCTCGCCATTCGCCAAGCACCTGCCATCTGTACCGCCCTCGGCCCTTTCACTTCTGTGACACCCCGCTGCCGCCATGCCGCCGCCTCTCTCCGCCCCAACATCTCCATCTCTCCCGCACCCTGACCCGACCTCCTCTCCACCCTCGTCACTGTAACTGTTATATTTGATCCCATTTACACCCCGACCTCACCGCCATCACCATCACTCGTCCTCGCTTTTCCCCACTCGTCCTCTCCTCCGCAACGCCGTTACCATCATATGCCCACTCTTCCTCCCTTTCGCTGCCACTGTCCTTCATCACCACCATAACCATCACCTCCGACAGGGTTGGCATGCCTTCTCGGCCTTCACCACTTCTCCCACCATCACCTCTCAGCCCCCTCCCTCTCCGCCGTTGCCGCTCGCGGGCTTAACTCCGCGTCGCTGAAAATAGGGGAATATTTATTTCGGACTTATTAATAGGGAGGTCCTTCCGCGCTCCGGGCAAGAGGAGCGCCCGCACAAAAACGCTGCGCGGATGCGGTGGCAGACAGTCCGGCAGCCCTGGAAACTCCGGACCGGGCCGCCCTCCTCGTGCGCTGAGTTGCGGTGGAGTTGTAACCAACTTAGCGTCTGGGAGGGGATTTTGAGCGCCTGATCTGTAGCCCCGTGACGAGGTTGTTCTGCGGAACTGAGAAGCAAGAAAAGTTCGCATTGAAATGGCAACGTCCGCAATTAAAATATTTTCGTGGAAATGTAAAAGTTTCTCAAGCGATCGTAATTTCTACTCGGTCCATGAATGCTATTCAGAAATGTAAATATTGTTGTCGTTAATTTTCTAAAAATATGGAATGATTCACTTGTTTGTTCACTTCTACACGTTTCCCCATGTTGCATAAGATTTGTGTAGTGTTTAAATTTTGGGGTGAAAAACCAATTATATAATTTGGTGATTTCGCGTGCCAAATTAAAATAGACATAAAAATTTACGATAAAGGGAATAACTATTTAAAATAACGGGATTTTCGTACGTCTAGTCAATTTCAATGTTAATTTCATCAAAATCGTCCAATGCAAATGCAAAGAGAAGCCTTTAGAAAGTTTATTGGCATGTAATTTTAAAATTTAAATGATATTCTGAAATTTAAAAAAAATAAAATTGTAATTATTATACCTTACACAGATTAGTTACAGCTTTTTTCTGAAGTGTCAGAAATTTCAGATCAATTCACGTCAGATAAGTATTTACTTTCCACTGATACTTTAATTCTATTGATATGACAGTTTGTTACAGGGCTGAATTCATAGACGTACAAATCCTTTCACAAATCCACTATACTTCTCCTTTCTAATTTACATTGGCAATCGAAGCTGAGTTATATTGCCATTAAGTAAAAACAAAACACTCAGAGAACACTGGAACGCCAAATTTATCTTG